TGTAAAACCAAAGGAGGGTTAAGCTAATCCAAACTGAACTGTGAAAGTTGGTCAGATTCCAGTATAAAAGATTTTCTTACCTGTGACAATAATTTGGGCTGCTCCCATTGCTTTGGCACTAAGCAGACACATCAGACCAATGGGTCCTAGAATAAAAATTGAAATTTACAGAAATTTACCACCACTAGTGAGACTGTTTTACCTCTGAAAATGAAGTCTTTGTACTTCGCTGATTCCATTTAGTCATTGTGGTTAGGTGTGCTATTTTCAGTGCATATGGATTTTGCTCCTCTCTGTGTACTTTGCCCCACCCTGGAAGTTTTCCTTCTGGGAAAAAGGTGGTTTGCTCCATCCCCCCCATAAAAAATTCCGGTGATGCCCACAGATAAATGACATTGGGTTCCTGCAGAGCAATGGATTTGGGAGGATTCAGGAAGGTTCCCGGAAAAACTGAATGCCCTGAAAATTAGGGATAAGCCAAGTATCAATCCTGTACTGACCTGAGCCAAGAACCAGGACGTTGCTGCCTAACTTCACACCTCCCCGCTGGCAGGAGTACACACCCACGGCTAGGGGTTCCAAGAGGGCTCCCTCATCCAAGGTCACATGATCTGGAAGCCTGAGGAGGGAACAAATACAAGATTAGACTGAAAATAAATCCACTGAAATGTCACGATATATTTGCATTAACAATTCAGTGAACGATGAAGTGGCAGGCTAACCTAGGTTTCAGAGGATCAACGACCCCCATGGCCCTGCCCCCAGAAAAGGAAGTTTCTTTGTTTCATCTTATTTCTTTTCCTCTGACGAAAAATTGACATTGCCAACCTGTAGCAGAAGTCGGCAGCATGACAGTAGAAGCGACGCAAGGAACCATCCACTGGAGGGGTAGCACAGAAGACGATATCGGGGCAAAGATTGTAGCGACCTTCCTTGCAGTAAGAGCACATCCTGCATGGCACTCCAGGTTCAATGGCTACGCGGTCACCTACAAATTAGGGAAACAGTTTTGTTACTTCAGAAAGTAGTTTCTCCAGTGCAGTTTCTAATGATATCAATTTTTTCTCATAATTTCAACCATGAGAAATGCAATTAATATGGCAAGAAAACAATACTTTTTTTACAGAATTCAATTTTGTTGTCACACAAAGTTGTTACAGGTATGAATGCACAAAATAATCCCTTCTGATGGAAAAGATTATTATTGAAAAAAGCTAAAAAGTGCAGCACACTGGGAATAGAAGTGGGAGGGGTAGTGGATCCCCTATTTTTTTGAATGAGGGCCATGCCCACCCCCCTAGGTCCTATAATGGAGCAGGACTTTATGGATACCTGATGGTCTCACAACTGCCCAACACCTTTGAAACTCATACCACCACCATCAGTGCAACAACAGATTGTATCACTGAATTTGACCTCTTTTAGCTCATTAAAAAAAGCTATTCCAACTACTGAAGTTAGCAGTAAAAAATTTCTCACAGAAACTTTTGCAAAATGATTCACCTTGTTGGAATGTCTAGGTCTTAAAAATGTACAGGAGCTTTTCTGTACATGCCAAAAAGAACATGAAACCCAGACATCCCATTCTGAGGTCTAAAAAAAAAACCAAAACACTAATACTTGTGAATGTTTGCGGAATGACAAATTATTTGAAATGGTATTGCCTATGGACATACATTACACCATCTCCAAGAGACATACATGTACACTTTGCAGCAAGTCACAGATGCATCATGGCCACGGGCCAGTGATCCAAATTGTCACAGTTTTCATAAAGAGACGTAAGTCTCACCAGACAGTAAACCTAGGTTCTGAGAAAATCACATTTGAAGTTGGTCTCTTTTTTGAAACGTTTCTTTACCCAGTATTTAGCATTCCTTTGACTTAACCAATGCTGCTGCAAGAAAGAGGGGATCTTAAATGATACAAAACTACAAAAATAATATTTACAAAAGTCAATTAAAATTGCTGATTTCGCAAACAAACACGTTTGTCCATTCTTTTTGTGACTTTTTATCTCTTCATGAAAACAGCACACATTGTAGGCATCAGATAACCTAGCTGATTTTGCCAACACAAAAGAGGGAAATTTGAAAAAAAAATCATAGTTTTGGGCCTGGTCACATTGTCTTTAATGAAAACAGTGACAAAATCTGCCAGGTACCTGGTAGCCAAGCTACCAACCAAAAACTTTTCAGTATAAAAACCAAACTACCGACGTACATGTACATGTACACTAACCAACTTTGAGGTTGGTGACGCCCTCACCAAGTGCAGACACAATCCCGGAAGACTCATGGCCAAGGATCATGGGAGAATTCACCACAAAGCGTCCAATCTTTCCATCTACTAAATAGTGGACGTCAGAACCGCATATGCCCACCGAATGTACTCGTATCTGAACCTCTGTTGGAAAAAATGGGATCAGTTATTGGCAGCAAAATTGACAGAAAAATATTGACACCAAATTTGACAAGCATTTTTCAGCACTGACTGAGGCTCCAAAGTAAACAGTTCACGACAAAATTCTTCAATTTACTTGTATTGTGCGTCACTTGGTAGTAAAACTCACCATCTGGTCCTGGCTGTGGAACAGGTGTATCTTCCTGAAATAAATGGAGGAAAATACATTGCCTTCAATTTTTTTCCCCCTCAGAAAACCATCACTAAATTCTGGATAAGGAAGGCACATTTCCTTGCAATAGTAGGTAATATGTATTACTATATTGAGTGAATTTGGATTTGAAGCCTAACAGTAACAGTAACACTCATCCTTATGTCAATATTTTTCACTATTTTTTATGGCAAAATGTTATAACAAAGGGTCTAACTTACTAACTAACTGTCTACGACTGCAATGCTAACAAAATGCTTTCGATATTAATTTCACAAGAAACACACAGAAAAATGAGGCACTGTCATTTGGATAAAAGGCTAGTTATAAAATTTATAACGTCTGTCGCGTCTGCATTTTGACATATATTCACAAAAGTAATAACTCTGGATCAATTTGAAAATGCATGTTCTTACCAGCACAAGTTTTCCTTTTTTCTTCAGCACAGCAGTTAAATTTCTTTCCGTCACAGACATTACGACAGATATGAGCGGAGAACATGTAGTTTAATGCACGAACTAGACGACCAAAAACATATCCAACAAAATCAATAAGTAGTAGGGCCTACCCCTACATGTACAACTCAGGGGCTTGATTCCTCATCTGCTGGACTCCCATTAAGTTAAGCAGGCTTCACAAGTTCACAGTGCGTGCCCATAGTGTAATGGAGGTACTGAGGTAACTGTGCCATGCATAGCGCTGCAGGGGTGTTATGCAAGTTTACATAAGAATCTAAATCCTACGAGCAGTTTAACTGCTATCTGTATGTCTATAAAAACCCCAAGAATAATCAGCTCCAGAAAGTCAGGCTTGACATTTGGTCACATTCCACTGATCTCAATTATAATGGAGATCAATATCACGTTTCTGCCATGGTACATACATGCAGCGCCGCCCAGCGATCCCTGTCATCAGCAGTCATTGCAGTGACATGACATCAGATAGGCCTACATGATTTTGCCTGTTTATATGTGCATGGCTCTCAGTGTCCAAGCCATTACCTCAACATGGGACCGTGTCATTTTCAGTTGAGACTGAGTTGTGGGGACACAATTTATTGCCATAATGTGGTCCCCACGACATATTTGTTTCAACTTCGGTGTGTTGTCTCCACGGTTGTCCCCACAAGTACATGTACGGAACAAGTAGTGAGATACATGCATTTGATAGCGATGTGAAGTTCTTGTTTGACATTCAGTGTTGAACAATTAACCGGTTGACTTTCAGGATGCACACCCTTAGAGGTGATGGACCTCAGAAGGGACCAAAAAACAACACCGCGCACATTTATTCACATGTAGCTTATTTACATTGTACATCTAGGCCTATGCCATTTCACAATGATGTACATGTATATTGGCCTACACACGACTCTTTCCCACAGGTGCAACCCTGGGCATGAGGTTTATTGGGGTCAAACATGTCCATAAATGTAGGTAGAGCAGTTTTGTTTTTGTTTGTTTTTTTGTCCCTTTTGCACTCCATTTTTCCAGGGATGTGCATGCCGAGCAGTCACCAGAACCAAAACAGGGAAAGAGCCATCAGAAAGCAAAAACATGTCCAGAAAAGTTCAATTTACAACGTAGGAGGGAAAATACGACATGGTTTACTTAGATAACACTTGGGTATGCTAGGCTTACTGACTTAGAATTTTTCGGACAAATCTTATAATGTGCACAGGGTGTGAGGCCTCAAAGGGTTATACCAGTTAATTGTTGTTGACCGTCAAACGAGGAATAAGTAATTACACGTACATCTACATCTTACGGTGGCTGATCTCCGCCAGGAATACCTTTTTTATTTTTACGGCGTTATAACGCCTTAATTTATGGCATAATAACGCCCTATTTCAAGACGTAATAACGCCCGATTAGGGCACTATAACGCCCTGTATAGGGTGTAATAACGCCCTAATTTCAGGCGTAATAAATGCCCTTTTATGCCGTAATAACACTCTACGGCATCCATGTAATAACACACGTGGCTCCACTTATGTGCATCGCATTTGCAGTTACTCTGGCCATCCTTGGACGGTTCGAATCTTGCAAGGTATATGATAAAAGCCCCTTTGTCTGCAGGGAATAGGGATTTATTACGCCTTAAAATAGGGCATTATAACGCCTTAATAAGGCGTTATTATGCCCTCAACGGGCATTTATTACACCGGAAATTTGGGCGTTATTACGCCGTAAAGGGCGTTTTAATGCCCTAATACTGCGTTATTATGCCTTACAATAGGGCGTTATTACGCGATAAATTAGGGCTTTATAATGCCGCATTAGGGCATTAAAACGCTGTAAAATAAAAAAATGTATTCCTGGAGGAGATCAGCCACCGTAACATCTATGCTGATACTCAGCAACGTCCACTTCTGGATATAAATGCCGAGGTGAAGCGAGGTGCATGCGAAGCAAGGGGGGCCGGGGACTTCTCACCGGTGTATATGATTAATGCGATTAATGCACTTGTATCCTCCTAGCTCAGTCTCGTACTTCCGGAACTGTAAGGTTTACCATGGAGTTTACAAATCTTTAGTTACAGTTCTGAAAGTAGGACAGTCGTGTCTAGCCCGCGAGACGGGCTAAGTCGTGTCAATCCTGACTTTTCTCTACGACTGCTGGAGTTACATGTACTTGTACTCATGTTACTTACTCAAGCAATATTAAACAATAGAAGCTCTCTTCTCTTGTTCATCACATTCACAGCAGTAGGATTTTCCGTGTCCATTATCTGTTCCCATCTTTCTCTTTGGTTTGAAGGACATTTTTTTTGTCGATGACATAACACAGTAACAACCTGAGAGCCTGCGGCCGGTCTTGGCGCCTGCAAACCGACCAACAGGTGTTGGTTTGGTTCCTGGCTTCACCTACCTGTCGAGGATTACACCATGAGATTGCACCATACTGTACGGAGGTTATAACATGGCGTATACCCTGGGACTAAAGAAATAAGTTTCTGTAAAAAAATAATTACTCTAAGGTAAATTAAAAATTTCATGCATCTTTTTTATTGATTAAATTGTTTAATAAGCAGTGAAACCCATAACTTCACGCTGTTAAATTGAAATGTGATATGTGTAATAAGATATCAGTTATTATGCTTGAAATATTAAGTTTCACAGCGTCTATTCTAAGCGCCTGTAGGCCTACCCATACACACCTCCCACGATTAGAGCCGCGGGATCGGCAACTTGGAAGTGAAATTTTCTGCACAGGGTTCTCATCGTCAGAATGGCTGACGTGGAAAATCTTTCTGCTGTACTGAAAAAGAAGGGTGAACTGGTGCTGGTAAGACGGAACAAAGCTTAACTTTAGCTTAGGCTTGGGAAGTTGGGGTTCGTCGTCCGCCGCGCTCCCGCTCCCACGGACACGACGGACGACGAAATCTCCCCCCCCCTCCATTGTGGTTTTTTCATGCTTGTGCTGATTTGTGCAGTCATGGCAGAACTGAGTGAGCACGTCTTTCAAGGTTCTTGCTGCCACGTTTTTGTCAGTGCAGCTGCAGTGGGGGTTCCCCCCCCCCCATAACCATAACTTACATGTGCGTAATGTGAAGCCAAGCTGAGGACACTAAGATATTCATATCATAATGCATGGTAACAGGCAGGGTTACGCTCTTGGTGGGGGTGTTTCACCTAAACGGACTTGTCGACTTCCCCAGCTGTCATGACTGTGTAGGATATGAAGTTGAGGCATGCCCAATTTTGTTGACAGCTGAACAGAAGAGTTCCATCTCCTACGGACAACACTAATTTTCCCTTAAAATGTTATATAACGGCTGTTATATAACATGTCTCAAAACTAAAGTGAATAGGCCTACCTAAATCATATTTGTACTGCTAAAGTTGACTTTTTAGGAAATTTTCATGTATTCAAATGGCTAACACTGTAGGTCACTACAGTAGGGAAAATTTGTCCATGTGTGGAATTTTTTCAACTGTGTCAACCAATTTGGATATGTCCCAACTGTGTAATGGACCCTGGAGCTATCAAAATGACACGTATGATGGACACAGTTGTGGCAGTGACATGGTTAGAACTTACATGTACATGTAACAGGCATCATGCAGGACTGTCCATGAGCATGTTGCAGTGGTGGCTGCACTTAGTCAATATGTACCATCGGGAAAGAATACCATATCAGACCAGCGTAAGTTTTCAGGGTCATAAACTTAACGCCTTGCCGTCGGGACTTTTTTCTGAAAGCCGACTCCGAGAATTCCAGCCTCGCTTGACCACAAAGGCCACCTGCCAAACCCCAAAAGTCTTCGTTTTTGGCCCTGCGTGCTCTGTATGCTTTAATTTACACTGTGAAAAGGCTCATTGTTTGGTGGCATGCGGCTCTACTCACGTTTCCACATTCCCCTTGCCTCTTTTCAAAGTGAGGACTATTGTGAAGCTGGTAATTATGATGCAAATTTGGCCTTTTCATTTCTTGGCAACACACAAAGGCCAATCACCATATATACAAGAGCCAGGGTCTGCCTTCTTTCATCGTGTTTGCTCGAGCGTGGGCCAAGAATAATAGCTGAAAAGCAGGCTGAGGGATCTCAATTTTTACGGTGGCTCCTATCACCTCCCGGTGAGAAGGGGTAAATCACTTACACCAACAATTTTGAACAGGATGACAGTTTAGTAGGATCACTTTTACAAAGAAAAGTACATGTAAGTAGCGTACTGTAAATGTTTTGTGTATGATACACAAAAAATGTGATGGTTCAATCTGGCATCCCGTCTTCACCCCTGCATACTTGCATTGAAGCTTCACTGTTATCAGTTCACAGAGACTTTCCAAGTTGTGTAATGCTGAACCAGTCAGTACACAGCACACACAAAACCCGTACCGTTTGTTTGCAACACCCAATTTCGAAAGCAGCTAAGAATGTACAAGGCCTAGTTGATTTTTTACTTGAGGATTACTGTCCTGACTTGATTCCAAAATATTCAAGATTTCAAACAGGGAAGGGGTTCAGAGACCAGTGTCTTGGATGTGTGTCCTTTGCAGTCAAAGAAAGAATTGATTCAGATACAAATTACTGCACATTTTGAATTCCTAAACAGTTTTCAGATGTTGACTTTATTTCTCATGCATGGCCATGCATTTCAATAGTGTGAGCATTTACTGGTGCGTGCTATTAATAGAATCTTATTAAATTGCAAGAATCATTTTCATCTTCTTTTTTTCTCTCTCAATAGGAAAACACGCCTATTCCTTCACCAGGCAAAAATGGTTAGTACCTTCCCAATTCACGAAACCTTCAAGATCTGTTCATCTCTTTTCCAAAAATCCTTTCCCTACAAAAATCCAAAACTTTCCGTAGCAGACTATTTCCATTAGATTTGGCCCATCCAAGAGCTATCTCTGATATGCTGGATGAAACAGCTGCAGGTCAGAGTAGGGTGAATGTTTACAACCCCAAATCTGCCAGAAAAGCATGGAAAACCTGAATATAGCCCAAATCCTGTTTCTCCAACTGTGCCCTTGCAGTTTCAATGCACACAGCAACGTTCCGCAAATAACCAAAGGGTCTCAAAATATTGGTTGTCATAAGTAAATTACAAATGCATCGAAGAGGTCGACACATGACTAGAATCAGTATGAGAGTCACAAGCATAAGATCACATTTTGTCAGAACACTTTTATTGGATCGAAGCTCCATCGTATTGATTATTATTTCTTACACTGGCCTTTTTTTCCATGGCAACTGCAGAGGTTCAGTTGAAAATGGCTGCCGTGGGCATCTGTGGCTCAGATGTTCACTACCTTGTCAATGGCCGCATCGGTGATTTCATCGTCAAGGCTCCTATGATACTCGGTCACGAGTCCTCAGGGATTGTTTCCGCTGTGGGCGAAGGTGTCACCGACCTGAAAGTTGGTAAGGAAGCCATCCTGAAGAAACTCAACAGCTCTCCAATATTGTTAGAAATGAAATGAAAACAAGCAGCAGTTACTATTGCTTCTGAAATTTTCAACCTTGAGTTCCTTATTGCACTTGGGTGCACGGGCGTCATGGGAAAGCATCCCCGGTGCCCCCCTATCTTGACAGCTATGGACCCTCCCAACCAACCCCTGGCAAAAAATTAAAATGTAAAAAGGGGAAAAAATCAAAAAGAATGAAAAAAGAAAGAGATTAATCTGGATGGAAAATCACCAATTTGCTTGATAAAACCTAGAAATTCAAGACCCCCTTCCACTGTTAATGGTTTATCAGTTTGTTGCTAATGAGTGCTTTGCCCACCCCTGAAAAAATCTTGACGACACCCATGCTGTGGTGCAAATGACATGGAGCAGCTAAGCAGGAAAGATTGCTAAGCAATTTTATCCACGAAACGAAAATCAGATGAAAACCAGTCACACGCTGGGTTCATTGCAGAATATCTTGGCTGGTAACCCATCTTTGCTTAGCAATTATTGGAGGGGCTCAGAAAGTTGCTGTGTTCAGTGGCCTTATGAAACTCAAGCCTGGTTTTACAGTACCTTTAGGGTTTCAGGACTTGAGAAACTAACCACTCTTACTGTTCATGCAGTTTGATTTGATTTCAGAGTACACAGAGAATAGGCAATGGGGTGGAGGATTTTAGAGGATCCAGGAATAATCCTGGTAAATCATGTCCAGGGAATTGAGGCTGATGTGAAGGTATTTTCTGTTCTTGTAGGTGACCGCGTAGCCATTGAGCCTGGAGTGCCTTGTAGGATGTGCTCTTTCTGTAAGGGAGGTCGCTACAATCTTTGCCCTGATGTGATCTTCTGTGCCACTCCCCCGGTTGATGGCTCTCTACGTCGCTACTACTGCCATGCTGCTGATTTCTGCTATAAGTAAGCTTTCATCATCTCTGATCACATCGTTGTAAGAAGCTCACAAGTGAGTGGAATGTTCAAAAAGTAATCACTGGGTCGACCTAGGTCGTGCCTGCAATTTTGATGCTGATGTGTTGAATAACAAATGTACGTTTGCAAGTTGTGCATAGAGCTCTGACAAGTAACCTTCTGTTGGGAAAGAATGGCTTTAAGTATAAGATAAAGGCTGTTTGCGTTACTGCTCGTAGCTTCCATATTTTGTCCAGAAATAATAATAATAATTTATTCATTTATAAAGCGTAAATTTCATATAGATATGTTCAAATGCGCTGTATAATGAAGCCATTAAGTGTGGAACAATGAATACATTTAAACACGGTTGAGCTGATGGCATACAAGGGCACTTCGGGCAGCGGCCAAACGACCCAACAGCAAAGGGGAGACAGTAAGAAGCAGTTACAGTGTTACAGTTACAGAGGTGCGAGGAAAACCCCAGAGGAATAGTCTGGGTAAAACCCACGGAGTCAGGTAGGGACTGAAAACCCCATCCACATGTGGACCGGGGCCGGGAATGGAACCCAGGCCCGCAGAGGTGGAAGGCGAGGAAAGAACTACCTTGCCAACCTGACTCCCCTGACTGAAACTGGGACTGTCACAGCTGTGAAGGGCGCTGCACCCATCACCTCCCCCCTCTCTAAAAAGCTGAAAATGTTGGGGTGTCATCTTCAACATCTTGCATGCTTTAGTTGTTCAACTAGAAAGATTGCTTGAGCTGTTTTTCGATTCTAGAGATGGTCGAATGTTTCTCGCAGGCTCCCCGACCACGTTTCTCTGGAGGAAGGCGCCCTCTTGGAACCACTGTCTGTCGGAGTCCACGCCTGCCACAGGGCTGGTGTCCAGCTGGGGAGCAGCGTTCTTGTTCTGGGAGCAGGTGAGCATTCCATGCAGTGTAGTTGGTCCTTCAGTAAATACCTCCAACTGAATTTTACTGTCTGAGTGCATTTAACCATCAGCCATGGTACTCTCTCCAAGTACTTATCTTCTCCAGGCAAAATCACAACAGTGAAAGTTCAGGTAGGCTTACAATAACTTAAGTCCAGCAGTGGCAAGTAAGGAGCATATTCAAGAAGATTTTCTTCTCAGTAGACATGGTACCTGAATGATTCTTGGGGCATGAAGAACCAGTTCAGTGTGAAGGAAGTCTCCCCTAGAAACTGAAGCAAGGAACAAAAGGAGATTATCTGCCTTGTGGCGATCTGTTGAAACATTTCGTCATCTGAAAATTCAGTGTGACTTCTTTCACTCTCAAAGTGAAAGACTAACTCCAGAATCCTCGAACTGAATTTGACTGGACCGCTCGCTGCTTTGTTTTTCCACCATGACTCACCTGTGTAGGTCCCATCGGACTGCTCTCCCTTCTGACTGCCAAGGCCATGGGAGCAACTCACATTGCAATCACCGGTAATAAGAAATAAATTATTCATGTTCCATTTTGCCGAAACACTCTTTATTGCCCCGTACATAAATTTTGTGTGTTCATGTTTTGGGTGGAGATGGGAGTTGTTGCTTATTCAGCTATGTATGCTTTTATTCTGGTGTGTAGAAACAATGTTATTCTTTTCAACCAAAAAAATCAAAAGATGAAATGGAACTTGATGTTTAAGGTTGGAAGGAAAGAACTGTTGATAAAACACCACTACCTCACTGTTTGAAGATACCTTTTTCTCCATATGTTCTATGCCGATTACCCTAAATTTCTCGGCATTTTCACATTGATTTGTAGAGAAATTCAAATTAAAATCCCTAAAAGTCACTAAATGTTTATCTTTCATAAATTATACACACTTCTTACTTTAATAAGGTGGAATTCTGCGTTTTTAAAGATTTTTTTTGGAAAGTGAATTGGGACCTGGTCACAACCAGTGATCTATCTACTCAAGTAAGAAACACACCCCATTTCCGGTGTTGGCTTCCACAATTGATAAACTTGGAAATAATTATCCACTGGCCCTTTGTTTTATCTATTTGAGATCTTGACCGGGGTCGTCTGGACCTGGCTGTGAAGCTGGGCGCCAATCACGCACTGAAGGTGGACACTCGGGACGGTGAGGAGATGGCACGCAGAGTGGAGGAAGCTTTGGGATGTAAGCCAGATATCAGCATTGAGTGCAGCGGAGCCGAGCCCAGTATACAGACGGGTATCTATGTAAGTCCTCTTGCTCGTCTTCGTCTGCTTTGTGTTACTTGTATGGTTTCATGCCTAGGTATGAAGATGTTGCTGTAAAGTGTTCAGCTCAGGAACACAGAGGATTACATCTAATATTGTAGCCCCATGCAACAAATCTGTTTACACTCTCGAATTTCATCATTCATTGCCATTATGCTGGAGTTCCTTTTTACCAACTAGGTAAGTGGACAAAGGTCCGAGAGAATTAGTGAAAAGCCTACCCAAACAAAAATTTCATCGGTGTTTCTTCTTTGTAGGCAACTAAATCAGGCGGTGTGCTTGTCCTAGTCGGTTTGGGCCCACCATCTGTCAACGTGCCGATGGTCAGTGCCGCTGTGAGGGAAGTGGACATCCGCGGCATCTTCAGATATGCCAACTGGTAAGTGACAGCCGATAGACAGAGTGATTTAGCTGTGTTGGCTTTGGGAATTCAACCCGCATGGAGCAAAAAAGAAAAGCAGAAGGGATACAGGAAGAGGTTTGCGTCCAATGCCTACAAATTTTAAAAACAGTAGAAAGGTTTACATTTTTTTACCCGTCACAATCTTCCAATGTCCAATGATGTTGAACCTCACTTTTCCCTTTCCCATTTTTCAAGATGGAAGCTTATTCCACCTTTGGAATTGTCCTTTAAAGTTTTAGTGCAGATGAGCAGTCTCTTCCAATTTTTTCATGGAATCGAAGATCTAATACCTCTTTTCGGTCTGCTTACATCTCAGCTACCCTCTCGCCCTGGAGATGATCGCCTCAGGCAAGGTGGACGCCAAGCCACTGATAACCCATCACTTCCCCCTGGAGAAGACACTGGAGGCATTTGAGACGTCGCGGACGGGAGCAGGTGGAGCCATCAAGGTCATGATACACTGTGACCAGTAGGGAGACAGGGAATCACCATGGCAACAGTATGCAGAGTAACCAATCAAAATACTAAGCAGCTATTGAAGGTGCTTTGTCACAGAACAATCTCCATATGGACATGATGTTTGATGATCAGTGAGATATTTAGTTACCTTAGCAACAAAATCCCAGATAACCAATCAAACTGGGGCAACCATTAAGTCCCCTAAACTCAGGCCAAACAAATGAACTGTAGTACTAGAACAAAATTTTGACCTGTCATAGTTATATTAACCACTTCGTACGGGGGAGTCCAGTACTGGAGACACATTGCACAGCCCACAAGGCCAGGGTGCCCGAAATCGGAGCTCGCTTTTGAACAAAAAATAAAGTTTCTGGGCGTTTGTAGAAAAGTTCACTTGCTGTCAGTTATAAGATTGGGCCATCAGCAAAGGTAATTCCATCATTGCCTTGCAACAATGGGTTCACTGGACTGCAAAACTGGGCCTTTAATCACTTGGAAACAAAAGACCGAGCTGCTGGGACTTGCCATTGAAGGTTCGTACAGTAGCTGTCAGTGCTGGCCATTAGCAGAGGTAACCTGTCATTGAAATCCGGCTGTTGCCCTTATCCAATATATATTCATATTTGAATAATTCGTCATTGTTTTGAAACAGTATCATTGTGTGTTGCCAGTGCTAGCGGATTATAAGTGTGGACAAAAGCACTCACTCCGGCCATTAGCGATACAATACCACTGAGTGCTTGTGGAATCTGGCCACATTATACAGTGTTCATTGTGCCCATGTGCTTGTTAAATGGCCCGATTCAGCCTCATGGCCCATGTGCTCTGCATAGCAACCCTGGCCGCCCAGCGTATCAACCCACTGGGCTAATTCCTGGAATAAAGAGGAAATTATGCAACACCGCATAATGGGGGCTCCTTACGGGCCGCACGCGTGGCTGCAATACTCACGCATCAGTGGAGGTTACCTGTCAGATTAGAGTGGCCACAGGACAGTCATTCTTTTGGGTGAACATGTGAAGTAAATGAAGATATAAATGTTTGAAGAATTTTGAAAACAGAAAAAAAATCGAAAAGTGCCTGGTCGAGTAGCCTCAACATCAAAAAGTGCCCAGCAGGAAGTGGTTAACATCACTAATTTGGTGGAAGATGTCTCTGTTGGTTAATAAAGAGGCTTTTGGAAACATGGAAAATTCGTTGTCAAAAACTTTTTCCAAACTGTTCCAATGTAAAAAAGAGTAATTTTATAAAAGAAGTAATATGTTTTATGTGGTGGAGGACATAAGAGTTATCTCTGTTTTTGCTTCATTTGTTTTTACTTCAATAATTCATTTATGGGAATCTTTTCTGTTAAATGTTTTCTTAAAAATTCTCCTACCAAAAAACATAAAAATACTGGAAAATTGTATTCTGTAACAGTAGAAAAAAAATTTACTAATTGAAAATTTTGTCTTGGTGAATTATACTTCCAAAGTGTGCTTGACTGTGACTGTCCCACAGTTTCATTTTACACTGACTGTGAGAAATGAAAACAGACTGCAATAAATACCGGGAAATTTTGAAAGAATAGCTGTCCATTGGGAACATTTTTCTTGCCATACATGCATGTGCGTAACTTCAGCTGTGCTTGGTTGGTGATTCCAAAAATATTGGAGAAAAGCATTCTGGGACTGAGAAAAATTTGAAATTTTGTTTGGAAAGGCTCAAAATCTTTTGTGATTTCTCAAAAAACTTTGTGCATGATGTGCAAAGTAGGATATATATTCTGCACCTTCCATAAAATTTACTGCAAGCGTTTTTGCAAGAACTCTTTTTTAAAGAGGGTTTGGATAACATGAACAATAACGGAAGGAACTGAAATGACATACAAAGCAAGCAGGGATAATCGGCTTGAGTCCAGTACAAGCAAGCGATTCTGCAAAACATGCTCATTTAATTTATTTCTTTTTTCATTTGACATTTGACTCTAGACAAACTCGGTGACAGAAAATGTATATACCCACTCAAATTTGCCCAAACAAATCTTCAAACTAAGAGTTAATTGTTGATTGACGCTTAGAATTACATAAATATTCCTTCAGTTATGTTTTCTTTCTCTACCTAGGTCACAAAGTGAAAGAATTAACAACAAAATACACAACATCTATTCCAGGGAGAATTTAAATTTCATTTTTGGAAGATTTACTGACAAAAAATGTTTGAATCAATCCACGTAACTCTAACACTGAATCATAAGCTTAAAGTAGCTGCCAGGAAAATGCACCAACAGCTGCTGTACACAGTGATAATTTTATAATTTATTTACAATATTATTTCACATCTAATTGCAAGATTAATAACTTATTTATAATTCAGTGCGCCACTTGAGTATTTCAACAGTGTGCACACGCCAAAAGGAGCATTCCACAAGTCAATCCGAGGACATGCAAGATACTTGCAAAAGATCTGCCTTACAAGCAGGCCACACCCTGAATCACAGAACAGAACACGTTTGAACTGACCATGGTTTTGGATGATCTGTTCTTGGCTTTTCGAAATACTGAACTTGCTCAGTCCAAGAAGTAGCAAACTAACTGTCATTTAGTTCCATTAACCCTAACACTCCTCAATCCTTCACCTGTTGGAGGAATGAGGACTGTTAGGGTTAATGAAACAATTTGCAGGTATCTAGAAAGGAAAATATATTCTTTGCATAAGAGTAACAATGAATTACAAAATTTCATTTACCAAATTCAGTGCACCAGTCATGCACAAAGAGTAGATTAACATATCTTTCAGACAAATCCTATCCCTGTGGACTTTGCACTGATGGCCCAATTGTTCTGATGATAGTCACAAAGGTGGCTTCAAATTTAGTAATGTCAATACAGATAATCCAAACTGCCGAGCCAAGCCAATGGAAAGGTGCATGTTGCAGACAAAAGATGTTCATGTCCTAACAGAAATGAATACAAACGAAATAGGAACCCATCCGAACCTGTGGAAAGTTTCTTCATTGGGTTTACAGATGTACATTACTTCAAAAGACAGCTAAAAGTATCATTTTCTGCAACGAGTGAGCAGCATTTCTGCAATTTTTACGAGCAAAAATAAATGGTTTTTGTCCACTTCTCAAGTAAAACATTTTAAGCAGAAGTCATTGGAATTAGCATCTCAATAAGTAAATTCTCTGTACCATCAATAACCCATCAGAATCATACATGACACATCATGAGGAAAATAGCTGGTACTCGATCTCACAAATTCAAACCGTGATGCTGAAACTGGTCCCTTAACAGTCTAAGAGTGATACTATATCAATTCAGTACAACACAGCTACATGTTGCTGACCTATGCAAAAGCTACTCCACTCAACACATGCACTCAAGCCAAAAGCATTTTGTGTACAAGCACTCAAAAGCAGCATCATTCATCAATGTTATGTTTGTGTGTCATACAAGACTAGCTTTTGCAGAGAGGATTATTCATTATTACTTTTTAACATCTATCCTAAGACATCTCTGACGAAACTTTGGCCCACAAAAAATAGGACACACATAAATAATACACCAGGTGTGTGTTTTTAAGGCTGACCAGCATGCCTTAACCCTAACCCCAAAAGGGTTGCTGGCCCTAACCTTCCCCATTCGCACAAAGTTAAACACTTGGTGCACAGAGGCTGTTGGACTTGGTTTTTCTGAGGTATGCCAAACCCAATGCAAAAGCCAGCTGTTATGGGCCTACCAGACCTATCCCCACAGAATTAAACACTTTACTACTGTTTAATTCTGTGCGGTTGGGGAAGGTTAGGGTTAAACAAGGAACCTTAAACCACAGCTTGGTCCACATTCAGCTTCATCTGAAGAGCTAAATGTAAGAATTGCCTTCCATAATGAATGAATGAAATACTAACCAAAAAAATGCTCATCTCATGCAACAGAACTTGAAGCACTGTCTTTTACTGAAAGTAGACCACAAGTGAACTACAGTATATCAAAACTGGGGACCCACCAAGTCATGAAGCTGCATGAGGAGGTAAAACCTGGAAACAAGGCCGAGGTTTTCTAAATCCCCTGAATAACTCTTCAACACTATCTCCACAAACACCACACAGAATAATATTTCTCTAAACATTTCCAACTGGCCTTTACAGTCTTTTACAAGTTTGAAGTATAAATGAATTACATACATGCTATTCTAAGTACACATCAAAAAGTACACGTTTGGCCCCATGTCTCAAAGGACAAGTATATAGTTTTGCACTTGTAAGTTCAAAGCTAATCAAATTTTGAACTGGTAAGTGTTGAGATGGGGTGGGGAAGCTGGCAGGTAATTTATAGGATTCATTAGGGAGAGGTTTTTGATAACACGTAGGGCAGGAGCAGGGGATTTGGAATGGGGTTTGGACAGGCCGGTATTGAGCTGGGATACTGTAGACTAGGCATTACGATTGTTTTGCACTGCATTCTGGGAGCCTGCAAGGTGGGGATTTCTGTACTGCAGTCATGCCACATATGTAACTGTGCATTGTGTTTATTCTGCTTTGGAATTAAAGTTGTTGCATGCCAATATATCTGCAACTACTCTTGTCCAATTCTGGAGCTCAACATATTTTCAAATTACAGTCGAACCTCGTTAATAAGAGGTCCTTCGGGCTTGGCAAATTACCTTGTTGTAACATGAACCTTGTTTTGTCAGGAGTGAAAACAATGAAAAAGAAAGGATCAGGATCTAACAATTTCCTTGTCTTAAGCGGAATATTATACATGTATTAACAGTGCTCTTATTAACGAGGTTCGACTGTAAATGTCTCTAAGCGATCGCAATATTGTATTCAGTTCAGCTGAATACCCTCCCAAGGATTTCTCTTGATGTATAAACCAATCTGCCTCTCTCTTAACCCCAATCTTGGGTAGACCCAAACCCACAATGATCTAAACTTGCTAAACAAAATCCCCAAGTGCAAAGCCTGGTATTTTGTGAAAATCCATACATATTCTTGGAAACCGCAACCGTATGAAATTCAACAGATCCAATAATTCCCTGAACACAAAGCTTATTAAAAGTGACTGTAGTACAACTTAACCGAGACAAAGGCTGGATGTAATTTACACATTACGCAAACCAAGTATCCTATAAGAACCCAATGCTCGGCTTAAGTCAATCACTCCCACGACACTTTCTGGTTTGACTCCGGGCCATTCTGCAGGTGTGAAATGGTGGTTGTGACACATGAAAATTGATGCCACAATGAAATGTACACAGAGGCAAGCGCAAATGGAAGGTTACATTTCTGAACATCCACAGACAAATGAGACTAATTCTAGATGGTGCTGAAAGCATTTTATTTTGCAGAACCTCACATCAGATATTTGCTCCATAAAGCAGTGGTGCAACCATCAACATCAATCTGTTCTAAAGATCACGGTAGATTCCACTTTGTGATGGCAATTGTCCAATACTCTTAACTTTACAAAGTTCTATCATTTGGCAAATGAAATAGCTTCTGCCCAAAATGGTCCACAACATTTTCAATAGAACTGCTATATACACCACATGCAACACGTCCACAGGTGTCCCTCCGTATGGTAATCACTGGAGAAACACAACTATCTTTTATTTCCTTACCAACACTTAATCTGCTAAACATTTCTCACAATGATGACATGGAAGTAGTGTAGCCCCCGTAAAAAAAGGAGTGTCGTGCTCTTTCAGACTGTACATTGAACCACCCACTGCCGACATATCAATTTAAATAAATAATTTGACTTTTAACACCTTAGTCAAAGCAGAGATTTTTTCCAGCATCCTCGGCCTAAAACCACAGTAGATTAAGCAATTTATATATTTGTCGCACGAATGTCCATGGTAGAAACACTGACATTTCTAGCAGAGGGTCAAATCTGACCAGAAATGATATCAAAAAAGCGAAAAGAATCTGGTTTTCAGTATTGGCAAGAAAATAAAGTTTAAATATTGGTGCTGGCCTGGCCAAGATTTACACACACGTGGACCATTCATACATTTACAAGCAAATTAAACCACAGAGTAATAAATACATTAATGCTAAGTTGCCATGGCATTTTAATGTATGAACTCGTAATTATGAAAGTCAGTGTAAACAACATGTGGCATGCATAATATCACTATGTACAACTTTTTAATTCTTTTTTTTTCAAATTTACTTCAGTCCAATAGAATGACCTCTCTGCCGACTAATTAAAGTTCAGAGACTGGTATTCTTGCTGTTTTGGTCTTGTACCAACAAACAAAACAGCCTGACAGGACTAATGGCTCCTCAAGGGTTACTGGCCTCATTCAAGCACGCAATACTGGTTCTCTGTGTTCTGCTCTAGTGTACGCTTGTTCTGTCCAGGTGAGGTAGAGACAACTTGGTGGGTTTATGAAGCATGAACACCACCACCTGCACGCTGTGTGTAGAATGCGATTTTCAACACAATGCCAACAATCTCGTAGCTTCTCCAAATGGCAGAAGCACTACTGTCGGTGTGCATCCAAAATGGGATTTCAGCGGTCCACGATGACAGTTGTAATTTTTTTTAAATCCACCACCGGTATGCTTACATGCGAAGTCCTTAGAACAGGTTCAAGCGTCAAGAATTTCAGAAAATATAAATTTAGCTTTTATATATATATATATATATAAACACGCAGCTGACGAGCAATCATCTTTGGACAATCTATGCTCTCATCTTTGAAACAGGCATCCGCTTGTTTGCAAAGTGCATACAGGGCATCGTGTCACCAGCTGCTAAACAGAATTTTTCTAATCATCGTTTTTGCTGATACCAGCAGAACCATTCACATTAAGAACTACCCTATTATCAAATGTACAGTCAGAGTGAGTTTACTATCCACGGTGGCATTTTGAGTACAAAACCTCTACACAAGTCAAACAGTCAACGATGACAGTCACACTTTTGAGTTTTGGAGGGTTCTTTCTGTGACAGTTATTCCATTTGCTCGAGCATCTAATTCATCATTTAAAAAGTTCCTGTCTAATATCATGAATGCTCTCACCAGATTTCAAAATAAATTATCTCCATAAATTTTATTTAAATTAGACCAAGTAACTTTATAATGAAATTTCAACTCATAATTTCATCCGTCTGGTATTTTGACTCTACACATGCAAAACTTTGACCCTGATTACCCCGTAAAATATGTCACTATTACCCCTTGCAAACTCCCCCACAAAGTAAAAACTGCTTCCCAGGAATCTATACTTCCTTTTCAAAATTAACATATCTGACACATTTGTATGATATGTATAAGTTTCCTTTGTCAGTAAAACAAAGCAATCAAAAGATATGAGAAATGCTTTCTTTTGTTCAACATTATCTAAACTGACCAATGGAGAAAGAGACAACAAGAATAGCTCGAGAATAGGAAAAAATTGGGGGGAAAGTTTACATGAGTAAAAGTTGAACAAATATGGACTAGGGAAATGAAAAAAGAATGGTAGAACTTATCAAGGCAAATAGGTCACATAAAAGGTCACAAGAGTGCTGCAAGTGGAAACTAAACAGTCTGCTGCTGCGGCTTCAACAAAGACAAAATCAGCAAAAGACAATACTGACAAACCAGAACAGGTTTGTCGGTGCATTTGACCATCAGACTTTTGGAAACCGAGACTTATTTTGGGGGTGCCAAGGGGACAGGCATGGGAATCAATCTGATGAAGGTCTCTCGGGGGTCCAGGTGTTCACAGGTCATGAAGCCTTGTTGGTGCATGTCCCCACTTGGTCCAAGAGGCCCATCCGGCCCGTTGGGTGGGGGGCGCTCAGGTCCAATGACTTGCTGCGCTTGTGCTCATGGATGGTGGGCAGGCTACTGGACAGACTGTTGGTCACACACAGAGAAGACCTGTGTCCAATGGCACATCAAAGGAAAATGAAAAGTATGTATATAAGTCAGGGGTTCTTTGTAAACGGTCTCACTATCTGCCGGACGGTGGATTAACATCCAGAAGAACTTTCAGCCTAATCCTGCAAAGATGTATTTCAGGGGTAAGTGCACCGAAGTGGATATATCTTGGTCAAATCCATGTTTGGAGTCTATCTTTTTATGTATATGAGTATAACATGTATTTTTGAAGCCCAACTTCCAACTCGGAACCAATCTGACATCCTCGGCTTGCTTGTTAATCAAACAAGAATTGGGGACGGAAGGATGAAAATGCTTTGAAGAAAAAAAAAACGCGACCTGGAAAAATCCTACAACAGCGCGTCTTCTGAGAAATTGTTTACACTATCTTTATATATAAAACATGGAAATGATGTTCTTTGCTTCGTGACGTAAAGCTAATGCAGGACAAGACATTTTGCAGAATTTTGTGAAGTAACACTGTCTTCAGCACAGTCATGGGGCATGAAAACTATGTCACGAGATTCAATGGGGAAAACCCCCTATGAAAATAAAAACCATTACATTTCCAGATCATATGCTCATCTTTTCTGATGCCTCTCTGAAAGCGTGTCAAAGTGGTATTTTCAAGGATATGCATCCTCCTGACCTGTTGTGTTTGAGGTGGCTCTTAACCAGGTGTCCGGCAGCCAGCGCTGACATGAGGGACAATTCCCCAGCGAGGACAGTGGAGCAGACAATGCGGGCCAGGGTACGGGCATTGCGTCCTGGATCCTCGGGGCAAGCACCACGCACACCCAGCATCTAAACGTCAGAAGAGATCGGGACAGTCTTTCATTAACACAAAACGGCCAGGACTAATTTTTTTCGGGGGGGGGGAATCTTCCAAAAACTGTCCGCTGCGCGGGAAATCCACACGTTATTCTTAGTTTCTGGACTCCAAGGCGGCAACAAGCCCCAGGCAGAGTGACACTGGCTGGGTTTCTATCTTCCTCAATCCTGTGAAATTTTGCAAAATGATCTCCAGGTTGAGTTTGAAGAATTGAGGAAGGTTACAATTTTATTGGATCAATCCAACCCAAGTCTTGTATTTTTCAAATGAATTTATAAAAATTATAAAAATGAAAAAAGAACCACTGCACAAGTTGTAAGAAATCTGAAGTGACTCTGATATTAATTTTGCTGTATGAGGCCTATATCACAAATCCCTTTAGGTCCGCTTAACAACCAAGTTTCTAAAGCGTGCACTCCTGCAGAAAGGCCGTTAAGCCCTGGAACAGCACTGATCACTTTGAGCCACACTACAGGCTGTGTATCGGGTAACACAACTCATGTTTTTCAACAGATTGAGTTGTGGATTACGCTTAAGTGCTCAGGAATAAGGAAGCATAACGCTGGTCAAGCCCATTTTGGAAAAAAGGCTTAATTCCAAACAGTGAAAAGGGCTCAAGAGTCGACAGACTCTGGGACTGACCTCCAAGCAGGATCCCTGTGGTGGGAGCACCGTCCCTCCCCCAACGGTGCCAACCTCGATGGACGGCATGGTGACACTGACATACAAGTTCTCCCCCTTGGGGCCTGATGGCTCCATCAAGGTGATGCAGTTGGAGCTGGCAATATTCTGAGCCACGTCCTATACAAAAAAAACAACACATCCATACATAAAAATCATGAATTACAACAAACACCAGCAACCAATGTCGTGGAGCGCCTAGTCACCAAAGTCCGCTAAGCACAAAAATATACTTGCTTAGCAAGAACAGGGTAACAGGAAAAATATCATCCATTCTATGCTCCCTGTGACTGGTTCTTGGCTAAATCTGCTCTGCAGTTCTGAGATATTGAGCTCCCATCAATAATTCAAATATCCTCACAAGAATTTGCTTGTCTCTTGAGGGCGTCTACATCCATGCAATCACTACTAAAATTCTGATACTGAAGACAAGGCACCTACCTGGCCAGTGGCAACATAGATGGCAGTGACGATGTTGGAAGCGTGGGCGTTGAAGCCACCAATGCTTCCAGCCATGGCCGAGCCAACAAGGTTCTTGTTGATGTTCAGCTCCACCAGAGCGGGGACGGAGGTTTTCAAAACCTGACATGGCCAAAGAAAAACGGCGGGGGATTAGCATATCTCACTACATGAACGTTTGTGGGAAAGATGATTGTGTTTGGAAAAGGATTTGAGGCTTTGGTTCCGGCTTGCTGTTTTGTACTCACATTTCTCAACATTTCTACAGGCATGCTCTCCTTGCCATCAGAAGATGGCATCTGGTCATATTTGGTTCGAAAACAGTACAGCACATTACGATACCTACCTTACTTAGTCAATAGATACTTTTCTTTTTAATTTGTAAAAACAAATAAAATATACGCTGATCTGATGACATGTTGCATGCTTGTTAGTACATTATTTGTGATTGGCCACAATCTAACACGACCAAACCCAATCTGAACAGTAGGCATTCCTCCGTTTTCAAGTCTAAACACTGGTGCGCAAATTAGCCTACCTTTTCTATGACGTACGCCGGTACGGTGCACTCGCTGACAACCGACTTGCCCCTCCCACCAATCCAGTTAATGGCCGCCGGCTTTTTGTCGGTGCAGTAGTTACCGCTAAGACTCAGGACCTCGAAGGCCGGAAACTGCTCGTGGATTCGGTTCAAGGCCTTCTCTGTACCCTGAAAGTTCAGAAGAGATTTTATGGAAAAAAAATTCGTGAGTAGGAAATTAGGGGAACCGTATTACCTGGGGAAAATTCACTTCTGCTTTCTGAGAACCGAGACGTCTGGAACGGTCCTCTGGCCTTTTATTTCCTTAAGTTGAAGGAACAATTTGACAAAAATAGATATGGGGCAATCCCTCTTCTTTGTCAGCCGATACTAACCGAGGACAGAGTTAAGTGAAAGTGGAGTCAAGTGCAGCCAAATCTCATTGCAAATGCATGCGTAAGCGGATCAATCCTGTCAAGGCTCAGGCCTTAAACTAACAATCATCTTTTGGCCTCGTGACCTGCTGCCTTTGCCAACAATACCATTGCAACAATCATACTTAATCTTTTTCCAGACTTCCTTTGTAATCCATGCATTTAATCGTCTTTCATAACTATAACTTTGAGGCCTAAAAGGTAAGAACCGCTTGTGCTTTTATTCAAGGGTCAAGATATAGGTCAAACAATGGTAATCAGACAGATAGAGGTAGAGTTCTTGGTTACAAATGGGTAAAGCATATCTGAATAATCACACTTTCTACCAGTCTGCAAGCACCAAATTCAAGAGCACCACGTACCTTGGACAGCATGTTCATGCCCATGGCGTCACCCGTCAGGGCCTGGAAACGCATGAACAGGTGGCGGCCGGCCAGGCCCACCTGGACATTCTTGAGCCGGGCAAAGCGACTGGTGGAGTCAAAGCTCTCCTTGATGGCGGCAAAGTTGTCGGGGTCCTCCATCCACAGTTTGACCGCACTGGAATAAGGGGGGAAAAAACAGAGGCAATTATGAAAGTGCAGGAGGCAGAGTTGGAGAATGGTCATGAGGCTGAAGTCTCCCTCATTTACTTGTTCATGTTTTGAACCGGGCGTAGTTATCAATCACAGAGCGTGCAACAATGATAACAGTACCAATTATTAATATTCTGCATTGCCTGATTGCAGGAATTTAGGATTAAGTGCCCATTTAGGGGCTATTTGTTAATTTTTTGGTCCTTTTCACACCCACACAAAATGTATATTAGCAGGCGAAAAGTTTACAGACTGTGCGCGTCTTCATCAATTTTCATGCTCATGGCAATGACGAAACTGGATTACCCATCGAGTACCCCAGTGATCTGTTCCTACCTTGCCTCTTTGGCTGAGGGTAGACTTGCTACCGGTCCTCTCGTCATCCCATCAGCTACAACGGTGCTCTTAACCCCTCCGGCAGCCTGTTTACAGAAAGTTGCATTTTCAGTCAAGAGATATGATTCGGCATGTCCAATTTTTTAACTTACCCGACACGTTGATAGGGTTTGCTGATGTACTTATGGGCTAAATCAGAAACTTAGTGTTCATGGTTGTAAATTGTGGTGCGTGTTCTCACTGGGATGCATCATGATCGACACAGAATGTTCAGTCTTAACAGAATGGGAAGACATTCCAAGTTGGACACTCACCTGGATGGCCCTGCAGCCCCTGTTGGTGCTGGCCACCAGGCAGCCCTCCGTGGTCCCCATGGGGACGTAGTACTCTTCACCGTCCATCAGCAAGGGTCCGGCAACACCAACAGGTAGCGGCATGTAGCCGACCACGTTCTCGCAGCAAGCACCCATGACCTAGAGACAAATCGAATGAAAATCAGTCTGGTCAGATTGATATGTCTCAGGGAACCAGATTTCATCAATAAGTTGAGGTTTTTACATCACTGTCAGTATCGTTATTATTGTTATCTGTTTGCAGTCACACCATATAGACTCTGGAGAGATATGGCAATTTCCAAATGGAGGTCTGGGCAAAAGGATAACGAAACCATGTAATAGACTGATTCTTGAGCTGATAGCTTGAGCGTTCATCTAGGAAACTCAGAAAGATGTACAAATTTTTTTCAGACCAATTAAAGATTAAAGTAATAATGTTCATAAACAGTTTTTATATTGCAACACCAAAGCTGGTAAAGCATTTTCCATCAAGTGTTCAGAAGTCCCCTATCCAAATCAACACTGCCTATAGAGGCTTTGCGTGGCAGCCATCTTGCAGGGCAGTTCTTGTTTTGTTTCCCAGGGAAACCTATGTGCATAACCTGTGGAAAAAAAAACACTGGCCTGCCCGATGGTAGCCAAGTAAACCCTCGATACAATCTGGTTTTGCATACAACCCAAGGCATCATTTGGAATGAGGTTTCTGAGTCAGGCGGGGAGGAGGCTTGGCTTACGTAAGAGTACTGGTAGCCCGTGTACGGCAGATCGCTGAGCGCCCAGTTCTTGGTCAGCTTCTGGCTGTAGATCTGCCTGCGGATGGCCACTCCCCTCTCGGGGTCCTGCAAGACATCTTCCAGCTTGTAAGCGGGGATGTGCCTGCTGGCCACCAGGAGATGCACTTCCTCGTCCGTCAAGTCCATGACTTCCTACAGAAACAGCCAGATTAAGAAGAACCATCTTAACTTGATACCGCAGCACGCACTGGTTTGGGACTTAATTGTAAGGCACACTATTGAAACAGTCCTCGAGATGTGCTTTAGTAAATTATCATGCTGATGTGGGTGATTTCCTTTGTTAAACCCTCAAGGCACAACTGTGTAAGTACTGAATGAAACTACATGGAGAATGACACAAATGAAGAATCATCTGCATTCAGTAACCCTAACCTTCCCCTAACCACACAGAATTCAACACCAGTAAAGTGTGTGAGTTTGTGGTATTGGGTACTGGTAGCTTACTATCTGGTGTTTTAATTCTGTGTGATGATAGAAAGCTTCCCATTGAAATGGTAAGTGTGAAGTATGTAATAAGTACCGTAACGAGGACAATCTTCATGTTTTTCTGACCACAATGATCCCAGCAGCCGGGGATGGATATGCAGCATGATGGTGTGTTAGTTTGTTTGAATAGGTACTGCCTGTCCATACTCTTTGTACTGTGCAATGGGCCTGCAATACCCAATCAAACAAAATCACACAGGTAAAGACCTGTTGAAGTCTATGGGATTGGGTACTGTGAGGTAAGAGTGTTTTTCCAAGGTGTTGAAGTTTGTGTGATTAGGGACGGTTAGGTCCAGCAACCGTTGGGTGGTTAGGGTTAAGCACTACAGAAATGATTAGCTAGTCATTAAACTAACCATGAGTGGAAGTAAACCAACCGTCATTCTTTCATTCAATCTCTAGAAGCCAGGGGGCGAGATATGAATATTTTCATTTACTTTTGCTACACACATGAAGAAAGCCTAAAAGTTCAAAGTGAACATGTGAACAGAAGCTAACTCTAAATCCACTACCCCAACATGAAACTGGGTTTCTGTGGAAGGAAGGGCGAATTTACTTACTAGCACTACCTAAATATTTCAAACTGACCAACAGAACATTTCTGCATTAACAAAGACTGCAGCAATGAAAGAAAATTGGATGTCTGAAATTTGTTTTGCTGGTGTGAAATAATTTTACCAACGGACTGATAGCTAGGAATGTTGCATACTCTTATCAGCATTCATCAGTGAAACAAAGTTTTCAAAACCAGTTAGAAATTATGCCAGAAGTTGAACTTACTCCTGAATTGAGGATACGAGCGCATTCCTGCAGTGGTCGTGGTGCTGTTGGCGAGCTGGGGCGCGAGTTCTCATCCCGAGTGCTCTCAGACTCGTCTCCGACGCTCTCCACGTCCGAGTCCTTCCCACCACCAATGGTGAAGGTAGCCTTGGGGGCAAAACGGACAGGGTCTGTCTGGACACCGCAAGATGAGAACCTCTGCAGTTCCTCCAGGATTGCCGGCTTTTCTGCAGATAGTTTAAAAGAAAGAGTTAGATGACCCCAGAGCCACCTGTAGAGAGAGTTGCAATATGAGTATCACCATTGTTGGGAACAATCTGGCAGGTGTATGCATCAGTGCAAATGGAAAGTTGGCATACAATAGCTGTACGCTCTACCGTACAGATAAGGAGCAGCCATTTTGTTTCCAAAATCTGAAGCTGGCATTACTCTGGAGCTCTGGATAACCCTCGGGTCTGTTGCATCCAATACCACCTGCTGGAGATCTTTCAAGGCAACAAACCTGTGTCATTTTTCTTCAAGCTGATGGATTTTTTTTCAGAATCAGCAAGCACTGCATGCAATATGCTATAAATTCTGTGGGATACTAGAAATGTATTTACAGCAAGGGCTGATGAAAGGGACTATGTTAACTATAAATGTTACTGAGGCCAGAGAAAGCCCATTCCAGTTCCACTCTAATTAGCTCTACTATTAGACAGTGGACAAATAAAACCAACCTGGTTCCATTTCTGCCTCAGTGATGACGGCGCCATTGCTTGACTGTTCCTCTGTGGTTTCTTCTTCTGTGGCTTCAGAGTCGTTTTGGTCAAAGAAGATGTATTTGACAGTCAAGAACGCAGCCAGGAGTAATACAGCCACCTGCTCCATTCCAAGGCTGGCAAATCTGGGAGAAGAGGTGTGTACAAACAAAATCCCTCAGAACTGATGTGTTGTCAAGTTGTTGGGGCATAACTGTTGCAGCTTTGTAAGAAAGTTGGAAAGTCTGAATTTCAGATGTACATGAGCTTTGGAGATCAGAGAATGTAGAGAAGAAATAGAGTTTCTGAGTAAAGCCAACAGTCTCGCAGCAGACAAAACTTTCAAACAGGAATGAAAAAAAAAATGTAAACAAAGCAAAAGAGCACTGTATTTCAACAATACATAATTGTACATTTTATTATCCTAATTTACTTGTTAATAACTCCATGACACACAACTTCAAAGCGCATGTAATTTACTCCAACAAAGTGCACAGATTAATAATTTCTCTCTTCTGTTCCTGTTCCAATAATCATATTTTGCAGAAATTCATTTGTTAAAAACGTTTTCATGACCAGAAGATTGTCCAAATGAACAGACTGAGACAAGGACAGTAGGGGGCGGCGACTCACTTTCTGAGGTTGAACTGCCAAAGAGGTATCTCGGGCTCAATCTTGCGGGAGAACTCCAGCTCAGGTAAGTCAGTCAGCGTGCTCACCTCCCCAAGCTTGGCATCGCTTGCTTTCATCAGATGACTGTGGACGTGCACCAGCACCAGACCCATGGACTTTGAGATTAGACAAATAAAATGATTCACGAATTGTTGGTTTTATTTGTAAGAAGTTAAGAATTCAATCCTAATGAGAATGAAACACAAATCAAATTTCTCTGAGTTTGTATTTCTTCCTAGTTTCTTTTTCTTACTTTGACTTATTTACAGGGTATATTTCTGTAGGTTGAAAACTTGTGTTTGGGATCTGTTGAAACCAAAATCTCAAAATTTGCAGGAAAAGTGACCAATAGTCAGATTGGGAACATCAATGTGAACAACACACTCTTTGACCTTTACTCCTTTGACCTTGACTCCCCAATCTCACTCAAACCACACATCCCTTACTCACCATGATAACCTTGACCCGTTGGACCACTGGGTTGGGTTTCTTGTCTTCCTCCTCCTGCAGCACCTTGGTGAACTGACCAAGTTGCCAGACTGGACGGCCGACAGGGTTGTTGTTGGAAAGCTGGAAAGTAAATGTTTGATAACAAAAAAACAACAACTTTTGTTAACTGGCACATAATGAGATTTCCCAGCGGAATGAGAGCGATTCTTACCCGGTTTAAAAAAAAAAAAGCTATATTAAATCTCGGGCTCATGTGTAATTACTTGTTTTGGACTGTACTTTAACCCTCACATGCAATCGCACATTTTGGACAAATCTGCCCTTCCAATCCAAAGTGGCATGAAATATGCTTTGGCACTGGAGCAGGGGAAGTAAATTAAACTTTTAACAGTCTGCAACTGCTCAAACACAAACAAGAAAACACTGTAACAAAAGCAGTCGAAACAATAGCACGATTGAGAAACCCTTAACGCTTACCTCCAGAACAAGTGACAGGCAGGCTGGGAAGAAAGTCATGAAGACAAAGAAGTTGGCAACCACGGACAGGCATCCAAAACAGCACATCACTTCCAATTTGGGGATTCCTGTTGACAAAGATTAAACAGAAATGAAGCCACTTTTTCTGTCTTCTAGGGTTGCCGTTGGTTCAGGAAATTTGGAACTGACAAATTGTTATACGTTAAATTTAGCTACAACAGCTTTGCTTGATAAGTAATAAAAATAAGGTCATTTTTTTAAAAGAAATCAATCTATCTGATATAAATCACAGGTTTTACATACTAGACAAGTGAGTCAAAAATGCTTGATTTTGACAATAGCTGGATTTTTAAAAACTTGTATGGAAGGTAGCACACTGTGCAGAAGTGAACTGCTTATTTGACATTTTGCAAACAAATCATTGCACCTCATCTATTATTGTACATGGCCAAGTCAGTTTTCCAAGAATGGGAACATGAACAAGAACTCACATTTGGATTCAAATTTTGCACGTTTCACTTAGGGGAACCCTGAGGCAACACTTGGCATCTTTCACCGACAGTTTCC